CTCTGAGTTGGTTTTCTTCCTAGGGCTGCCCAATGTCCAGGTTAGCCTGGCTCTCACTGAAACCTTCAGGAATGATCCCTCCTCTGAGCTGGGTCTGCATGGTGGTCTCCCCTGCATGGAGGGGGCGAATCTTCTAGGTGGTGAGGCCTCTTGTATCCAGATGTTTTCATGTCACTATGACCCAGTCCCATCCCTTGCTCCTGAAATATCTTCCTGCATGAGAAGCCAGTGCTCCACTTCCTTTCTGAGCCCAGAGTGCTCAGAAACTGTACGCCACTGACTCAGTTACGAGCCAGTTGGGATGTTGAATCACAGGTGAGGCATGTGAGATCTAGGTATAGGTGACCTGAAGGTAGGATGAGCTGGTTTTACCTGTTACAGAAGGGAAGGGGGACCCAGAAAGAAAGGGGCCGGCCTGAACTCACACAGCTGGTTCATAGAAAAGCCAGGACTGGAAATGAGCTCGGTGGCTTTTTCTGCTGTACTCTCCGCCTTTACAGACTTGAGGCCCTGCTGGCCTTCGTGTGTGCCTCAGGAGGTGAGCTGATTTTGAACGCTTGGCAATGATGAGCTGTGGGGCCGGCACAGCTTTTGCAGCAGGAGGACTATGGCTCATTCGCCCCTTCTCTTTCAGTCCTGTGTTTGTCGAGTGTTGACTGTGCTTCTCTTAGGAGCTGTCCCAGGGATGCCATTGACATCTTCTGAGAGCCAAGATGGAAGCTGGCACCTCTGGGGAAGGGGAGGTGTCCTGGGGTGGAGCCACAGCTTCAGAGAGCATCTATAGCCAGATCTATCCTGCCAGGCTAAAACTGAGAACAGCCAGGCCGGCTGCCGGTGGGGACAAGGCCAGAAAGGGGATGGGTCCAAGCAGTCAGTTGTTTTCGCTGTTTCCCTAGAAGATACTAAGGTTAGCTTTTTCCTCATTCCAACTTGTACTTCAAGGATTGTTTTTCTCTGATTGCCCTAAAGGTTGACACAAATTGAGAACACTGGCTTGGCCTTTAAATTTTAGATCATTTACTTGATTCTTTCCTAAAAATGGGAGCAGGGGAGGAGGCATCTTTGTATTGTAAATCATCTTCCTATGACTTAAAGCATCTTACTTGAAAACTGGTCCTACGACTATTAAAAATGCGATCTATAGGGATACAGTAGCCCTTTTTAAATGTTAAGGAAAAACAATAGTCTTGAGTAAATATTAACAGACTTCCTTTATGAGATAGCACATGTGAAGAGGCAGATGTGAAAACAGAACAAAGCTTATAGGGCTGGTGTTGGGGGACCAAGTGGGTTTGTGCCATGTGGGTTATGATTTGGAGTCATGCTGTATCCTGCTGTATGTCTGCACCCGTAGGAGGGAGTTACGTTAGGGTTTCTTGTCAGCTCTGAAGCCTTCACCAAGGGAAACATGATGCATACAGAACTAAAATTGAACTTGTTTATTTGTGGGGTGTTTGTAATCAGGGATCAAATTTGCTGCCCCATTAAAATACGGAGATCCTGCCTGGATCATGATTTGCAGGTGGCGGCCTGGGGCGGCGGGTGCTGGGCCTGGCAGGCCTGGACAGGTTTTCTGGCACACACTTGGGTAAACAGTCAAATGAGTGATGTCTGCATTAGCTCAGACCTTGTTGCTTCCTGTCAGTAGATAATGGAGCTGGAGCTAAGAAACACTTTTTTTTTTGGTTTAAAAAATGTGCTTGTTTTAACTAGGGTAAAAAGTTAGCAAATCCCACTGTCACCTAGAATTTAGGGGAATAGGTACACTTTTACATTATTGGTGCCACTATTCTTTGTAAGCCTTGAATCAAAGAACGTGATAAGCAACACAACTCTTCTCTTTCTACTTTTGGTTTAATATTCGTGGTATTAAGAACAAATAAAGTCAGTCTCAGTAGCAATAAGTGTCTGATAGTGGGGGAATAGTCAGGATGACTTAATCAGCTGAATAGGACACCACAGAGCCACTGAAACCTAAGTGTGTGGACATGGGAATGGAAATGACCGATGGGAAAAGGACAAAATAGATGAACATGCTAATTGAAGCTTTATTAAAAAAAATCAGAAAGTAAAAAGATACAAATCATTGACTACTTTGGGGTTCTAATTTTTTTCTATAAAGTTGCCCAAATTCATGTTTAAAAAAATTTTTTTTTCTTCTTATTTTTTTTCCATTACCCAAGTTTGCCTGAAGACCTGTGCTGAGACATTCCGAGATTTGTAGCACAAGGCTCCCTGACCACTGGGTGACCAGCTCAGTCACACTTGGGGGAATTTTAAAATTCAGATTCCCTCAGGCTCCACCCCAGCACCAGCCTAGTGAGGAGAGTACTGTATTTCACAGAATCTCTAATACCAGCAATTGGAAGATACATCTTTATTTTCTGAACCATTAAGAAAAATGTGCTGATTAGAATGATGAAAATGCTCATCATTTAGACTTGTTGTATTTATTGAAAGGGCTCTTTTAGATTTCTTTAGCCAGATTTTCATTACATCACAATTAATTCATATACAAGAAGGAAAATGTGAGATTCTTAAAACTTCACATTTGTGATTCTGACATTCTGAACCATGTTTTGACTGAGTTGTCCTTGTCTGTTTTCCCAAGCAACGTCATCCTCTGTGGCACGGTGAGCATTGGTGATGCAGCGTTTCTGAAAAGCATATTCTGTTGGTTCCAGAATTTTCTTCTAAGCTGCTGACACCCATTCTGTGTGATCTGACGCTGGGCTCTATTTATTCCCCTCACCGGCAGGCAGGCCATGGCAACCACATCACAGCTGCCACCTACTGGCGGTGATTGTGAGATGCATGCGTTTATACAAGTGAGAACACGGGTGTCTTAGAACCTCTGCCCCACGGTACTTTGAAGGAGGCAGTGCTCTGCTTGGATGTTTGTCAGACCCTGAATTTAATAGTCAGATTATGTCACTTTACATCTCGAACGAGGTTTCGTGACATCCAGTCAGCAGGGAGAGAATCCGTTATTGGGCTACTTTGAAAAAATAGACCTCAGTGCTGTAATGAATCAAACATGTATTTCTAGTCTTGGTAAGGGTTGAAGGACGTCCCACTTTTTGCATATGGTACCTAGGTACTGTAATTACAACTAACATTGTTTTTGAAAACTGGCATCATGCCAGTATACCCTTATTGATAGTTTCATATTAGATTTCTGACAAGCGTGAGACACTTCACATGATTTGCTAGATTCTCAAATGACGTGAGGCTACATAAGGACGTGGACTGCTCTGTTTGGTCCTGACAGCTGGCGCAGGACATAGCATTCTAGCAAAGGCTCAGAATTTGGTACAGATGTTGTCTCTCCCAGAGTGACTGGGAAGCCTTTGTGGATGGGGACTCCTCTTGGGTTTTATCCACAGGCTTCCCTCAGACCTGCCTGGAACTAGGGGAAGGAGCCATCCTCTCCACTTTCTAGATTCCAACCTATGGCCTGTTTTGGCTTTTTTTTTTAAAGGGGGTTGAGGGTGGGAAAGGAAGTGGTGGTTCCTCCTAGAGTTTGACAACTTTGAGCTCTTTTCTTTCCCAGTCTTGACACAGACACATCTGTGTCCCAGCAACATTGGTTTCCAGCAGGAAGGGGTCATGGGTCAGTCACACCTAGAGCCATAGGGCAGACTGACTGTGAGAACAATTTGGTCTTCCGGCTCACACTTCATCTTTGCCAAGGTTTCCAGGGATGGGGAAAATTGGTGACAGAAAGGAAATGTGACAGAGCTCTAGTCTTTCTGATGTCAGGGTTTCAGAAGTATTCCCTCAAGCCAGCCTGGCTAGGAATAATAGGTGTGTTATCCCTACTGAAGCAATTCCCTGGAGTGTAAGCATTAGAAAAAGAGGTGCCTATGATGTGGCAAAGGCAGCCAGCGTTTAGTTAACATGACAGCTCCGAGTTAAATCCTCCTGAGTCTCATCTCATTTGAACTTCATCTCAACAAAGCATAAGGCTTTCCCAAGTCTTGCCTGAATTCCTCATGATGAAACCAGTCTTGCTGGGTGGAAGCTGGCCAGCCTCTCTTGAGTTGGACACACTCAAAGCCCAGCTCCCATAAACTGTCTTCCTTGCGCTTTAAATGCCCAACAAAGGCTTTATGAACTACTTTTCCTCAGACTACAAAGTGGTGGTTTGTTTAGTAAAGAAAGGTTCTTTCTAGTTAGCATCTCTGCAATCAGGAACTGGAACCAGTCCATGTAGATTACGTGTTTCTCTTGATAGGCTGAGTAGCTGGGAAACAGTGATGTTAACACCAGCTAAACTAGCCAGGTGGGAAGTATTCTTACTTTTGGAGAAAAACCAGCCTCTGAATTCCAAAAACCTGGACTAAGATACTGACTGCAAGGGTGAAAACACACATGAAACATGGTAACTGCAACCCACTTTTTTCTTCCATAGTAGTAACACAGGAGAAAAGGAGCACTTACTTTTGCCCCCTTTTTACATCCCCAACACAGCCAAGAAGCTTGAGCATATACTTTATACCACCAGGACCAGCTTAAGCTAAGACTTATATGGAATAAAAAACCAGCATTCCCCTACGTTTTTCTCTCCAGCCCGTCCGAATTGGCTCACTAGAGAGGCTGCCTTTGGGTCTTACCACAGAATCCTCCCCAAATCATTTTCAGTGTCTACCTTGCCTGAAAATGCAGTCTGAAACTTCTTGGATCTCTTAATATCCATTGAATAGCTTTGTTGGTTCGTGACCAAAACCCTCCTAAAGGCTTTTCTGCAGCCCTGAACTGCTCCCTTTACCTGACAATCGGTGTGGCGCCCCAGCGGCCCTGTCCTCCCCAATGCGTCCATCTACAGAGGCCACTGGTGAGAGTGAGAATTGTAGCCAAGACTGCCCAGAGAATCAGTTCTGGGAGCGCAGCACCCTCATAAAAAGTGGGCCTGGCTGTCAGCATTTTAAGTCTGTGTAGCTCCCAACCTCCAATCAGATCACAGATGGGAAATCGAGAACAGAAGGTGAGAAGACAGATTTCATGTTCACATGATTATTCTTGTTTATTGAGGTCTGTTTATTCTTAACGGGTGCTTTTTCCTCCAAGTAAATAGAGCAGGAGGCGTAAATATCTATAATGAATAAATTTATTGTCTTACAAAAATCATTGTCTAGAAATATGGGAATACAAGAAAAGATATTTGCAGTCAGGTGTCTGGTGGTCAACAGCCAGTACAACTCATAAAGGGGTAAAACCAAAGATTCCAAACCCACACGACAAATTCTTCCTAACAGATGTTAAAGCTTTTAACCCAAAAGGTTTGTGTTTTCAAGCACGTTGCAGAGGATCAGGGATTTATAATTAACACTGATTCATTGTCACTGAATGTTTATAATACCATTTTGACTAGAGAGGTACATGATATGAAGCACAGTCAAAACTTAATACATTAAATTGTTACCGAGGCAAATAATATATTTAACATTGTCTTAGTACTGTAGTGTCTAAGGCACTTTCTGTAATGTCAGTTTGCTTAACTATCAACCAAAACCAGAATGCTAAATGTTCACTGTAACACTGTCCACGGGGAAGGGAAAAGAAGAAATGAAAAAGGATTCACATCCACTGGCATGTCAGCATTCAGGCAGATGGCATCTGTTCTTGAGGTCCTGTAAACCTCATCGACAAACTTGGAACAAGTCTCGGACACAAAACCAATCTTCCCATTTTGGGCTCAAAGCAGCGGCTGAATTTGCAAGGTCAGAATGAAAGCCTGGCTGGCGAGGGAGGGCCTTCCAGTAACTCGTGCTTAGGAGCCGCAGCTGCTTGCTCCTGAAGTGAGGAGCCGGACGCCATCCGAAAGTCAGCATGATGTGACTGCTGCCCCCTGGGGCCTCAGCTGCAGCATGGCCACTATCCTTTCTATGCACAGACCAGCCCTGGCCAAGGACAGTTCACATGAAGAGATGCGGGGACACCACCAACTCGAGGGAGATGGGCACGGTAACCCCAAATGGATGCTGCGTCCCCCAATCCGACCCACCCCTCCTAATCTTTCCAAAGCCCCTTTCACAGTTTGCTCACTGAAATAGTGTTGATCATTATTCGAAGGAAATGAGAGATACAAGTGCAGTTTAAGTTCCACAATGTTCTAAGAGACTTGATGTGGCTGAGGAGTCGGGGGCCACATGAACACAGAGCTAAGTTACCTGTCTGTACGACAGAGAGCATGCAGAGCGAATGAGCAACCGCGGGGCTGCCCCAATAACCCAGCGACTGGCAACAAGGGTCTGGAGTTTGTTTGAAAAAGGGTTCTCTTCTTAACATGTATTATTATAAAATGGTCTCTTGATGAATATATGGAAAATAGATGCAATGATGAGACGTTCTGTTTAATATGTGCATGTTTTGTGTATGTATATATATATATAAAAAGGGGAGCAATTGTACCTAAATCTGAAGAAGCAGGATACAGTATGTGTAGGCTGGAAAGCCTTAAGACACAGTTGATCTTTTAGTAAGGAATCCTGTAGCTTGCCAACTTCCTAAGTCTGTAGGAGGCCCAAGGCAGGCTGGCGCCGGGTGAGTTCCTGCGTGTCCCACTGTATCGCCTCCACTGGCTTCCCGTGACTCTACTCTGACTGGGGCGGCTGCGTCTCATTGACATCACTGGTCTTACTTTCGGTGTCGTCGTCTGACAGCTCCAGGGAAGCCCCTTCAATATGCAGCTGGCGCCTGCCAGATCGGCTCGAAGAGAAGCTGATGGGGCCGCCTCGCCTAGAGAGAACAGAAAGGAGACATGTGGGCAAATACACAAAAACGTGTGGCTGTCAGGCTGTTGAATCTTGAAATTTCCACCCCGGCCTCAGGACACAGGACCTGGGGTGAGTGGACACCTATTCTACACCCCCGCCTGTGGGGTACCATCCTGGCTGTCTGCGGCAAACAGTAAGGAGGTAGATGGACTAAGGCAAAGCTCCACCTGCTACCACGGGTCAGCATGTCTATAACGGGCAGACAGTAAATATTTTATTTAGGCTTTGTGGGCTAGTGAGGTCTCTGTTGCACATTCTTATTTTTAATTTTTTTTATAACCCTTTATAAACATAAAAACCATTCTTAGCTCACTGGCTGTACAAAGCAGGGCACATCAGAATGTGGCCACAGGCCACAGATTGTCGACACCTGTACTAACCTCCTCTGGGGAGAAAGAAGTTTGGCCTCAGCTCTCCCATAGTCTGCCCTTTCCCTGGTGCGCACCACATCTAATGTGGCGACAAGGATGGGAGGAGGGCTGATGGCGCCAGGTCCTGCGAGGAGCTCCTACCCTGCTTTTTAACCCTCCTTTCCTCACTGTGGACGTCTGAACATGGAAAGACACTTGACCTGGCTCTCAGGCCTTGTGTATTCCGATGGTCCACCAGTAAATGGCAAAAACCCTGAATGGGCCTGTTCCTCTTTTGTTCTCCTCAAGGACTATTAAAGGTCAGAAATCCTGAATGGGTCCACAGGAAGTGATTTAAGAGCAAGATGAGAAATTACACAAATCTGAGTAAACCACTGAGTAAACCTAAGCCTACAAATTGGGCTGTTTTTGCAGGCTTTGGGCACGGACTCCATGAGACCCAGCGCCTCTCAAGGAAGTCCCCAAGGTTGCTCACCTCAGCCGGTTCTTCAGAGTGCTGACCTCACGGCTCAGGCCCTCGTTGGCCTCAGTGGCATCATCCAGTTCCCGCTGGAGCTTACGCCGAGAGGCATTGGCACGTGTAGCTTCTTCTTCTGCTTCCTCCAGCTGCCGTTTAAGCTGCTTCATCCTGGCATTGGCCTTCTCCATCTTAGGGAAGTCACATGAACCAAGTCATATCAAATTGATGAATCCAAGTGCAGTATCGCCGCATCCTGAGTGTATTAGCACAGCTCTCTGCCCTGTCAGCCATGTGAGCATGCACGCGTGCACAAGTACACGTGTGTGCACTTAAACACACACGCAAGACTGGGGCTGATCTAAGGCCTTTAGATTGGCCTGCCCTTCTCAGCAAAGGAAGTGTCTACAGAGCAAACTATGCTAAAGGAAATTTTTAAAAACTTAAAATCCTGTTTTCATCCATGAGTTTTTTTTGCAGAAAATGACAGTTTAGTATCCTCACATGAGTTGACCTATGGGATTGTGAAAGGGAATTGCTATTCCTGCAAAATACAGAAGAGCTAGCAATGTGGACAGTCTCCAGCCCCAGGAGGTGGTATATTCATTATTACACCTCCTTTTAATATGGGCATTTCAGGTGTTATATTCTGATTCAAGTCCAAAGCCGCTCTGGAAGACCTGACATGACCATTCACTCCTGGGCCATACTGGGACTGGCCAGTGTCCTGCAGGTCCAGCTCATGCCCTCTCAGAACTGCCCTCAGTGCTGTTAGGCCCTGAGGGTGGGGGTGGGAAGGGAAGGCCGGGGTGCCTGATTGGAGCAGGGAAAGAAAAGGGCGGGGTCTGGGCCGAAGGCACCAGAATCCTCAGCTCCGTACACCTGTCCTCCCAGTGCCTGCAGCGGCGAGTCTCATCATAGTGGGGGGTCGGGGGGTGGGCAGTGGAGGGAGAGCACAGCTACCCAAAGTGTCCTCGGCAGCCCTGGCCACAGTGCTATTAGAACATTCCCCTGAAGCCTAAAAAGGATGCCTGGATGCAGACGAGAAGAGCATTCAGGGCCGCAGGCAGTGTATTTGTTTTCGCTTTCTGTTCAACATCCTGCAGGCACCCCTCTGTCCCGCCAATATACAGTGACTGCCAACTGTGCCCAGGAACTATCCTAGGCATTCAAGAGAGGACGGGGAGCGAGGCTCACTGACACGGTGGCAGAAATCTCTGCACTCGTGAAGCGTACATTCTAGCGGAGGAAACATGGTAACTTTAAGATTCAGTTCAGGCCTCGCACTTCAAACCCTCCCAGTGAGCTCTCACCCGCCCCTCCTCTTTTCTCTGCGGGGCTGGGAGAGCCCCGAGAGGTGGGGGCCATGTCTGAATCACCTCCGTATCCCCAGCACCCAGGAGTGCCTGGCAGGAACCAGCACAGCACGTTTGTAAAACATCAGAATTAAGACTTTCAAATAGCACTGTCTTAATTTAGCTAGTCAAACGGTACCGCTTGGCTCATTTTGCGTGCATCTCCTTGCTGAAGCATTTCTGAGGTGGAAGACATTTCATCCGTCCGCCTCCTTCCCTCACCTGCTCTTTATACTGATCCGCATGTCGACGCTCATCTTCAACCTGCATGAAGATTTCTTTCAGCTTCTTCTCGGTGCGGCGGACCAGCTTGTTGGCTGCCGCTCGTTCCCTGTGAAAAGGGTTGACCCGTTAGTCTTTGCAATGCTTGAAACGGCAGTTGAAATGGCGAAAACACTTTTAAAATCCTTTTCCTCTGGAAGATGACACATGTTGGAGTGCTTTCCAGGACCTCTCTGACCGAATACCATGATTAATATGACCCAGAAACTTGTCCCTCTGGTCACAATATGGATGGCCTTTAATGTATTCTAATAGTGATAGGTAGAAAAAGTGTTGTTATTCCTTCATGTGTAGCTATTAATCAGTTAATTTAGTAATCTTCTAAAGATCAAATGTTATATACAAGCTACCTTTCACTTATATTGACTGCAGACTTTTTGAAGACAAAACCTTAGTCGGTTACTCTTTATCACCTAACTTCTCAGCCTGGAAAACAAAACAAAGACCCAGTTTATTGAGTGATCCTTTTAATCACCTGACCACCTACTATGATGCTAGGGGCTATAGCAGTTAACACTGAAAATAAAACAAAACTCCTGCACTCACTCTTTAGTTAGAAGTCAAACAAATCACCATTTCCAGACAGGCCTACATTGTTCCTTTTGTAGGAGAGATAACTTATTTCGTGAACTCCATTAAAAACAGAAAAAAGTTCTTTTGTTCCTTGATAAATGTTATGCAAAAATGGATAGTGATGGAGTTAGCTGAAAGGGCGAGTCATGTTAATTACAGCTAACAACAAACAAACCCTTAATTGTTTAATCTGAGAGCAGTGAAGTTGAAGGAGTGGAGTGGGAAGTACGGATGCTGGGCTTTTGAGCACAGGCCCTGCATTTCTGGGCCCCCAACGCCCCACTGAGAGGGTGAATTTGAAGGTCTAATAACTTTGTAAATGCCTGCCAAAAGCTGTATTGGGCAATTCGTCAAATTTCAGAATGGTTTACTAAAACAATGGAAACTGTTAAGCAGTCACTTCCTATGGGAGAAGAAAAGCTTTTATTTTTGTCACTGCATTTCTTCTCTGCCAACAAATTGGCATCATGTGATGCCACCAACTTGAGAAATCAGTTTTGGGTAGAGATGTAAACTGTGGCACCTAGAAAATTGTGGGGACGGTATGATCAGCTGAATCCTAGAAGAGCTGACAGGCGAGCCCAGCCTTCCCTGAGGGCTCAAGTCCCCCATCTCCCACTCTAGTGACCTGTGTCCTTGTCATCTTTTCCCCTGCCATGGAATTCCCCTAGGGCAAGTGCCTGTTTTGTCTCCTGTCTCTGGCTCACAGGCTGAGCCTGGGCCTGGTCTGCAGCAGAGACGCTGTAAGTTTTGGTTTACTACAGCAAAACCTCTTACTTGGCTTCCTGCTCAAGCTGCTCCTCCAGCTGCCCAATCTTGGCTTCCAGGGCTGAGATGGTGGCCTTGAACTTGGATTTGACAGCACCCTCTAGCTCCTGCAGCTTGGCCTTCAGCTCCTTGTTCTGCCGCTCCAGCTGCTGGCGCGCATTGTCACTCTTTTGGGCAGCGCTGCGCTCAGCCGCCAGCTCTGCATTCAGTGTGTCCACCTGGAGAGGAGAAACGGCTTAGTCCCTTGTGCAGAGGGGCAGCGCAACCCTCCCCGAGTCATGGTTGCCGCCTGGGCCACCTGCAGTGTGGTCTTGCGGAAGCGGTCGTTGAGCAGTTCCATGTTGCTCTGCTCCTCTTCCAGCTCCTCCTCCAGCTGTGCAATTCGGGCCTCCAGGCGCCGCTTCTCATCCAGCAGCGCAGACCTGGTGGAGCACGGGGGAGGTGACTGCTCAGTATGGGCTCTACACAACTCGGGAAACCCAGGGAGCGCTCCTCCACCCACCCCACTGCTGAAACTGAGCACCATTCTTGATTTCTGTCCCCCTTACCCGTTGCTTAGTCTATCAGGTCCTATTGGCCACACTTCCAACCACCACCCACTCCCCATGCCTGCCACCTTCATCCAGGCCCCGTCATCTCGTGGCTGGACCACCACGGGAGTCTTCCAGCTCACCTCCCTGCTGCCATCTGTTCTCAAAGGCAACATCAGCATTCAAAAGTACAAAAAAACCCTGGTATTCCCTAGCTCTAACTCTACTGGTTTTCCACTGCATGAGATAAAGTGCCAACTCCTCATCATGTCATGCTAGAAAATGACCGTGATGAACCCTCAATACAGTAATTAAATGGAGAAAGCAACTTCTTCATTGGAAAAAAGGATGATTTTGAATGAAAAATACATTCAGAGAAAGGTAAGTCTAAAGAATCTACTTGCCAAACCTAATGAACTTGACAGTGAAGACTTGCACTGCAAGGCTGTGCAGTCTATGGAAACCAGGCTAGTTCTGAATGTACTGCCTTCACACGTACTGTGGGCATGACTGTCACAGGGAGGTGTGACCTGCCTGGGTCCTGCTGCTCAGCCTCTTGTGCTCGTCTTTCCTGACTTTGAACTGATGAGCAAACCAATTACTAACTCTTATATGCCAAACGCCCAAGGCCTTCTCAGTGCAGCAGGCAAGTCCCAGGGGAATGAACGACAGGTGCTCAAGAGGACCGGTGATTTCTGGATGCCGCCCCTTCCCACCAGCTGCCAGGAGACTCACTTGCCAGAGGCGCTGTTGGCGATCTCATCAGCCAGCTCATCTCTCTCCTGCTCGGCGTGTCGGCGGGCTCGCTCAGATGAGGCAAGTTCCTAAAAAGTTTAGAATGTGATTTAAGCCCAGGCTGTTAACGGTTTCCTCAAATGTGAAATCTGACAATGCCTGTAGGCTGCAGCCACCTTGCTGCAGGCACTCCATGAGTGCCTCAAATGGCAATTAGATCTGAGAAATGAAGCTGGCAGGTTTGCTGATGAGAATCTGTTTGGATGCAGGTCAGCCGGTTGATGTGCCACATTAACATCCTTATACAAAAATGTCCACAGAGGGAAGTCCTAGTTTATGTAAGGGCTTGGCTATTCCTTCTAATTTAAGCAGCAGCTCTATTCCTGCCCTCCTTAGAAAGCTGGTGTTTCTTAGTCATAAACAGCACAAACTTCATGCAAACCCCAAATTATATACCAGTTCATAGTCTTGAAGTATCCATCACATATACAAGTAGTACAGTTTGGAGGTCAATTACATTAGCTAGATAAACCAGTGAGTTGTATCAAGGCACCAAAAAATAAGGTAATTGTGCGGGACAATGAGGATCACAGCTCCCACGGAGACAAGGTGGGTGGAGCGTGACCTCGGGCTCAGAGAGCTGGGCCTCTGTGATAAGCAGGGCCTCTTTCTGAAGGAGATGGGAGCCCTGGCCAGTCAGGCTACTGAGACTCTGCAGGGGGCTCTCAGAGAACTGAGCAGGGCAAGGGGACAGCCCTGTGCCTGCCAGCCCTCTGGAGGAAGAGCTGCCTGAAGGCTGCTTTTCCACAGGCAGGAGTCAGGGTGAATTTCTCACCCCAGCTGGGTCAAGACTTAGATCATAGTCTCAGAATTGGAGAGAGGCACCATCTCCCTTATTTTATGGATGAGGAAACTGAGGCCCACATGGATGAGGTTGACTTGCCCAAAGTCTCAAGGTCTGTGAATAGCAGAAACTCAGGGTTCTGACTCCCTCCCCATCCAGGGCCTCTTCCCACCAGCAGTCCCTTCCAAAAGATGCCATATTTGGCAAGAGTACAACTTCAGATGCTTGAGGAGCGGGGCTGCATGAAAGGAGTTCGTGTGTGTGCTCTGCGCGGGCACCTGCCTCTTATATTAGTGTACAGGACGCAGGCCCTCCGAAGGCCTGGGTTCTAGCAAACAGAACCCAGGGCCCAAGTCCAGGATGTGACGGCAGCAGGCAGAATACTCTGGGCCTCTGACTAACAAAACACTGTAAGCATCAGCTCTACCATCTGGCCTCTGGTATTCTTTCTCCTGGGCCCAGCAAGGGCTCCTTGCTGTCCACTGGCTGGGTGTGCTGCAGACAGGCTGCGGGGCCCATGGGAGAAAGGAGAGGACCTTAGGGCTCATAAGCCAGATGAACAAAGGACAAAGGTGTCTGAGGTAAGGGAAATAGAGAAATACAGGGAGGGGCAGGGCCAGCTTTCCAGATCAGTCTCTTCTCCCTAATGCAATGATCCCTTGTCTGAAGGTCTAAAATAAACACTTTTCAGGTTTCTGAAGAAAAAACGGGAGTGTGGGGCTGCAGGGTGCTTGGATACTTAGGTAATGCCCCAGGAGCTCTCCAGGAAGCAGGCTCCTAGAGCCTCGTCACTGGAGACTCACTGATCAACTCCATAGATCTGGAACATTCTACTTCATTGACGAACATGTTCTTTTTAAGCACACATGGAATATTTATAAAAGCTGACAATATTCTAGTCCCTAGAGCTGTCCGACTCCCAATATTCTCTAACCACAACGCAATAAAACTATTGGGTTGTTGGAAAAATCATGACATATTTTTCTCTGTTTTTCGTTGCAAAAATGCGTCATGACTTCCGACAACCCAATAGAAATTAACCAAGAAAAAAATAAATGTCACACATTTGGAAATTTATATCACACTTTTAAATTATTCATGGGATAAAGAAGAAATCATCATAGAAATGAGAAAAATTTAGAATGTAAATGACAACAAATATGATATAGTGAAAACAGTAGACTGAGGGGAATTTAGAGTATACTATGAATGTATTAGACAAGAGGATAGCTTGAAAATTAATGACTGTCCAACTCAAGAAGTCAGAAAAAGAAAAAAAACATCCAAAGGAAATAGAGCTAAGAGCAAAAATGAATGGAACAGAAAACAAAGAAGGATCAAAACCAAAAGCTGGCTCTCAGGGTAATCTCAGGCTCTGCTCAGTGTTTACTCATCTGGTTGTCAGTTCCTTCTTCATTCCTGACAGTAGGGAGTTCCCTTTCTTACAGGCTCAAGTCCGCATTTATAGTTCTTTGGTAACATTTTTATCCAGCATTTCTTGGTGTTTGTATTGGGAGTTTTTTCATACTAACTGGTAACATTTCAACTTAAGTTGCTCTTTCTAGGTTTCAATAAATTTGATCATCCTTTACTTATATAGGAATTTATGTACACATTAAATATGTGCAATTCTTTATATATCAATTATACCTCAATAAAGCTTTTAAAAATAAACAGAAATATATGTATTCAAGTGTGCCTAACACTGATATAATCAATCCCATACTATATGTAATCCTTCATCAATCCTTCTCCATGAGAACTCACAAAAGAGATAAATGAAAGAATTATTGGATTACAAATGACTCACTTAGGAATTCAATGAAACACAGTTTTCCCCTTTTAAGTATCACACAAATAGTGCTTCACTCTTATGTCACTTAGGTCAGAGTTCAGAGTTAAATGATCCTGATGCTTACCAACACTAAATAAATATCATTCCGTTTTCTTAAACATGGAACAAGCCTGGAAAGTGGCTTAAAAATTACTAATCAGCTCCTCTGCCTTCAGCCAGGTTGATGAATATATATGAGCAGTCAAACTGTGACCACTTTGTCAAACTGAAGCAATAAGATGGTTCACTAACATTAAAAATCGGTAGTGAAATTACACTAGGCTACAAAAACATTTATATATATATATAAACTCATATATATATATATATTATATATATATAAACTCATATATATTTTATATATATATATATATATATATATATATATATATATATATATATATAATATATATGGGATCTTGGAGAAATTGCCAGGACAAATATTTGTTGAACAAATGGATGAATAAGTAAACAAACCTCCTGTAATTGAAGGATTTCTGCTTCCAGACTCTTTAATTTCTTTTCGCTCTCTTTGGATTGAGCAAAAATCTCATCCCGGGATGCACGAGCTTCTTCTAATTCACGCTGGTAATCCTTCATCTGGGCCTAAGGATAAATAGGAAGAAGGTTTTGGGGTAGTTCTCATTCATAGTTTTTAAACATATTTTTTCCAGATTATTAAAGTAATCTACAGTTATTATAAATATAAAAGTATATGGAACTGACAAAGATATCACAAGAAAACATTCAGACCAATACCCCATATATACAAAAATCCTCAAAAAATAGCACACTGAATCCATCAACATATAAAAAAAATATACACCATGTATAAGCATATGCCATTATATCTTACCATCCAAGTGGGATTTATTTGAGGAATGCAAGGTTGGTTTGACAACAAAGAAGGAATTAATATAACGATATGATCATCTCAAAAATCAGAAGAAGCATTTGACAAAATCCAATACCCTTTAATTATAAAAACACTCAATAAACCAAATAGAAGGGAACTTCCTCAACTCTGAGAACAGGCATCAATGAAAAATTGACAGCTATTATATACTTAATGTTCAAAGGCTGAATGCTTTTCCCCTAAGATTAGCAGTGACAGAGGGATGTCTGACATTGCCACTTCTGTTTAACACTGCAATGGAGATTCTAGTAAAAACAACTAGGCCAAGACAAAGAAATAAAAGACATCTAGCTTGGAAAGGAAGAAATAAAACTAACTCGATTTGCAGATGATATGATCTTGTATATAGAAAATCTTAAGGAATCCATTAAAAACCTATTAGAACTAATAAACGAATTCATCAAGGTTGCAAGATACAAGATCAATATACAAAAATCAATTGTATTTCTACATATTAAGTATAAACATTCCAAAAATTAAGACAGCATTTATACTTAAAATAGCATTAAAAAGAATAAAATAATACATTTAGCTAAAGCATAAGACTTGTACATAAAAAACTATAAAACATCACTGAAAAAAATTAAATAGCTAAATAAATGGAAAGATGGCCATGTTCATGGACTGCAAGACTTAATAGTTAAGATGACAATACTCTCCAAATTGATCTATAGAATCAACACAATATCAAAATCTAAACAGTCCCCCCTTTTCCCCCAGAAATTAGCAAGGTGATCCTAAAATTCATATGTAATTGCAAGGAACCTGGATAGCTAAACAATCTTGAAAAAGAATGACAAAGTTGGAGAAGTCACACTTCCTAATTTCAAAATTTACAAAGCTACGATAATCAAGACTGTGGTAGTTGCATAAGGACAGACATATAAATCAGCGGAATAGAATTAACTCAATGTGGGAAGGAACAGTCTTTTTAGCAGATGGCTCTGGGCCAACTGGATATCCATATCCAAAAGAAGGAAGTTAGGTTTATACATCAAACCATGTAACAAAAATTAACTCAAAATGGATTTAAAGAAAGAGCTGAAATATAATTATAACTCTTAGTAGAAAATATAGCAAAAAATCTTCATGACCTTGGATTAGGCAGTAGTTTCATATATAATTTAAAAAGCACAAGAAACAAGAAAAAATCAACTGGATTCCATCAAAATTAAAAATTTTTGTGCTGTAAACAATACCATCGAGTGAGTGAATAGGCAGTCCAGAGAATGGAAGAAAATATTTGGAAATCATATATCTTATAAGAAACATTCAGAATATATACAGATGTGTTACAACTTAATTATTAAAGACAACTCAAAAAGATGAATGGAAACTTGAAAGACGTTTTCAAAACAAGATAATGGCCAATAAGCTCACGAAAAGATGCTCAAAATCATTAGTCATTAGGGAAATGCAAATTGAAACCACAATGAGGTACCACTTCATACCCACTGGGATGACTATAAAAGCTGGACAATAGCAAGTGTTGGTGAAGATGTAGAGAAACTGGAGCCTCATACACAGCTGGTAGGAATGTAAAATGGTACAGTTGCTGAAAAGGTTAGGCAGTTGTCAAAATTAAATAGTTACCATATAACCTAGCAATTCCACTCCTAGGTATATACCCAAGAAAACTGAAAGCACATGTACACACAAATATGTGAATGCTCATAGCAGCATTATTCATACGTAGTAGCCAAAAAGCTGAAGTAATCCAAATGTCCATCAACTGATGAATGGATTAATAAAATGTGGTACAATATCCATATAATGGAATAAATATTATTTGGTAATAAAAAGGAATGAAATATTTATGCTATAATGTGGAGAAACCTTGAAAACATTATCCTAAGTATTGATTGTATGATTCCATTTATATCAAACAGGCCAATCTAGACAGACAGAAAGTAGATCAGTGGTTGATTAGTTCTGGATGTGGCAGAGATAGTGCAGTGACAGCTAATGGGGACAGGGTTTCTTTTAGAGGGAACCAAAATGTCCAAATTTAGATAGTGATGATGGTTGTACACCCCTCTGAATTTACTAAAAAAACAACAACACTGAAAACACTTTAAATAGGTAAATTGTATGGTATGTGAATTATATCTCAATAAAGCTATTATATAAAATCAATGTTTTTATATTTTTTGTGAGGAGCTTAATAATAACCTTTGTGATTAGCTAGTAAAAATAAAAACCTTTGTATTTAGCATTTTAGAAAAGTACAAGGAAGCAAATAAGTTACTTATAAACCTATTATCCTGAGATGACTTTTCCTTCTAAACCTTTTTTCTAAGTATGTATACCTACATGTCTATATGCAAAAATAAATTGCCCTACACTGTACCTTCCTTTACTCATTTAAGCCCTGTTGTCATTGCATACATATCCCCATCATTTAAATGGCTGGCAGTCCACTTACGTTTAGGTGGTTTCCATTTTTGCTATCAGAAATAACATTTCAGCTATGATCTTTGTATATAAATATTTCTTCTCACCTTTATATTTTGTTAGAATAAATTCTCAAGATGTGGAATTACCAAGGTCTAAAGGATGGAAGTTTTCTACAGCTTTTGTCATAACTGACAAACCTCCCCCCAGAGAAGCTGTGCCTATTATATGAGAAGGACACATTACATCCTGCCAATACTGCATTATAGAAATCACTTTCTGTCATTGTGATAGTGAAGACCGGCACGTCATTTGAGTAGCCAAAGAGATGATTACATAAGATTGAAAAGGTTACTAAAGCTCATGGCATAAAGGAGGAAGGCAACATCACCTTCCTCTGGTGGCTCAGTGGCCGTGTTTGTTTGTTTGTTTTTTTAGCTGAGCCATCCTGCTACCTGTTGACAGCTCAACGGCTGCTCAGCTCGGGCTGGACTCGAACTGCTGTTGCTCAGAGCTCAAGCTCTTGAGCGAGCTCTTAACCAACTGAGCCACTCGGCCGGCTCAGTGGCCGTGTTAATTCAGCATCACCAGCAGCTGTTCAGAGCCCGACAAGCATGTTCCTATGGGCGGTGCCCCACCTGTCCAAGACTCGCTAAGTGGGGCCAAGCACATCCTGTAGACACTGGAGGTACACAATGTGCCATCTTTATGGCCTGCTGCCCCAACCCACAGCCAGAGGTGACAGCTCCACTGTGCTCCCTGGCAGGATGGCAGGCTGGGTGCTGCACAGAGCTTTCCTCCCCAGTGTCACAGGTCCTGTCGTGTTTGAGCTCAGCAGGGCCAGGTGACACCATCAAAGACTGAAGGTTGGCTGCACATACCTGAAGTTTGCGAAGCTGCTTGATTACTTCATCCCTCGCTTTGTTTGCAGCCTCGATTTGAGCTTCAAGGTCCTTCAGGTCTATTTCCATTTTCTTCTTTGCAGCAACAGCAAGTGCCCGCTGTTTCCGCTCATCCTCCAGCTCTGCCTCGAGCTCCCGCACCTAACAGATGATATGGGGTTATGCCTGGTCAGGCACAGTATCCTCTCACACAGAACAGGCAGCCTGTCATCATACAAGGGCTCTGGTTACTCTGCACAGGTGCTCTCTGCTACCCAGCAGTTACTATTAACAACAGCACAGTAGCTGAATTTTGTTTGGATAGATCTTTAAAAACAACACCCAGTTCACATCATTTCCCACTATTCCAAGGGTACCTAAGAAGGCAGCGTCCCTGATCTCAAGCTCAAATTCTAGTGATGCAACAAAATTGAAGACATGGGACAATTTCTTGGGGCAGTTCCCTCCAGGGACACTCCAGCAGCCTGTGGAGAGACCCACGTGGCGAGGTGCCGAGGTCTCGGGCCAGCACCTCGTGGGGAGCCAGCTGAACGAGGATCCCCCAGCCCCAGCAGGCCTTTGGGCCATGCATCCCCCCAGCGGAGTCAGTTCAGGATTCCTGACCCACAGAAGCTGTGAGTTAATAAGTGTTTTAAGCCATTAAGTTTGAGCTAATTTGTTAGCTAGCAATAAATGACTAATACAATAAATATTAAACATATCCCAGATTTAAGACTTGACACCATGAACTCCAAGGGTGTGTCAAAATATCCACTAATAAATTTTAAAGTAAACCTTTAGAAGTTCAACATACATTCAGAAAAGAATACAAATCCTAAGTGCCCAGCAACTTTTTAAAATAAAAAAAATGTAAATATCTGGTTTTTTCTCCTTTGAAGAGTGGTTTAACAAGGACATGTGATCTGAACTTCAGAAATACCGAATCACCCTGTCAGGTGCGTTTTGATTCTTTCCTTCACCCTTACTTTTAAGACTCACAGAACTTGAATCTAACTACATATTCCCTTGAGATCCCACTGAGGGCTTTGCAATGATATTATCTGAGAAACAGGAAATCAAAATCAATGACATTAAATTATAAAACAATAAAATTATCAAGTAACCAAATACATCAATTGTACTCCAGCTAATGTGTTCTAACGTGAATGAACAGGATATTGACCCCAAACGGGGCTCTGAGAATGAACAAGCTCTTGCTCTGAAGGCCACACCTTCCGACCTACCTGTTTAATCAGCAGCCGCTTCTTTTCTTCATTCTGCTCATCTCTGGTTTGCAGGTCTCTCTCGAACTGGGCCTTCATGGCCTGCATGTTGACCTCCAGGCGAAGCTTGGCATCTTCTGTTGCCTGGAGTTCATCTTCCAGCTCTTCCAGCTGGGTCCTCATTTCTTCCACCTGCTGCTCTAGGGCCCGCTTGGATTTTTCAAGTTCATGAACCTACACCACGGGAAGCATCAAGAGAGAGTTGCCCCTTGGCAGAGGATAGCAGTCTTCCTGTGTTATAGGCCCCACACGGCACGTCGGCTGCTCTGGGCACCCCTGGGCCAACTTCCTGACACAGCACTCACATCCTTCCCTTTTCCTCGATAGCTGCTGCTACTCATCATTTCAGAGTATTTTATTTAAATGACAGTACTGACTTCTTTGTTTACATGTGCTCTGTAACCAATAAATTAGTCTCTGATCACTTTGACCCTGAGAGGGCTTTAAAGAACAATGAAAAGAGCACAGTGTCAGAGGAACTTGTCTGCTGACTATTTCCTTGCTGTCTGTGTAACAGGTACCGCATACAGTACATCCCTTCTTGCCGTGGAAAAGATCATTTGTACTGAAAATGCACATGTGGAAACATTCATATATTAAGGTGTGTTAGGCCTGCAAAGCAGGGTACAGTTAAAAAGTCTGACCTTTCTCTGGACAAAGATCCCCACCACAAACATTGACCTAGTTCTCTGTGCCAAGGGCTGCGCTGAGTGCTTCCGCCTCACCCCTTTGATCCCCGCGACAACCCTTCAGACAGGCACGTGTAGGTGCTATTATGTATTCCTTTGGGGTTCATGGCCATGTCAGTTCTCACAGAGGCAGGTAGGAGAAAGACTTATGACATGAGGAGGGCCCGTGTCTCTTAGCAGTGTCTGGCACTTCATAGACACAGAAGAAATGTTTGTGGAATAAATGTGTGACTCAATTTTTCTAGAGAAAACTAAAATGGAACAAGAAAACGGAATCAACTGTGGTGTTCTCTCTCTTTACATTTTACTATGGAATCACAGCCATTTCTACTCTAGGTGGCTTCTTGTCCACGGGGCTGGTCCCCTGGCACGAGGTTGTAGGAGAGACGCAGTAGGAAGAAGGTAGGCCATCTTCCCTCCCATATGACGTGGCCAGACAGCCCATAGCCCATGAAAACGAGACTTTATAGAGGACAATACTTTTCAAAGCACATTTGCAGTAGCTTCATGGAACTGGGCAAGTATAATGTCCATTTGACAGACGAGGAAACTTAGGCTTAGAGAGGTTAAGTGGGTTCTCCTGGTTAGAATGGAAGCTGGTGGAAAAGCCAATCCCTGAACTTGTTTTTGACTCCTAGGCCTGGGCTCACTTCTCTGTCCTCGACACATCATATACTAAGGGAGGGATGTAGGGTAAATAAAAACTATTGCAGCTCTTGTAGACGATGTACGCAGTGGAAGGATTAATAGTATCACAGAATTTCCAAACTGTGAATAAGTTCCTAAAGCATTTGAAGTCTTCAGAGAAAACAATGGGGTCTCATTGGGAAGTCCCAGGTCAGAGAGAGCTGCAGTTCTCAGCTCTCTCCAGGTGCCCACTCTGTAGAGAGAAATCCTGCTACCCTCGATCTGAGGGGACCTGTGCCTACCTGTGACCCAGGAACAGTGAAATCCTTTGTTTAAAGGTCCCCTGGCAGAATGCAGGTTAGGGCAGGGAGGGCCTGGGAAAGCGACAAGAATAAACAAAGCTTCTCCACCTGTAGGTGCTGCTATAAGAGCTCCTCACCGAGAACAGACTGCAGAAAACCTGAGTTTATCCCAGCAGGCTTGAATCCCTGGACTACTTCGCTCTGGGGTAGGCATTCCCAGGTCCTTCAGGCACTCCTAAGGACCTGCCCGCTCCCCTTCTGAAGGGACCGGCCCCCAGGGACACTCACGTTCTTCCCCACGTCATCCTTGGAGCTCATCAGGTCTTCCATGTCTGCCCGCAGCTGCTTGTTCTGCCTCTCAAACTCCTCCTTGGCCTCCAAGGCCTCCTCGAGGGCCCGGGCCAGGGACAAGGCTTTGGTTTCTTTCTCTCTGGCCTCTGCTTCGGCTCGGTCCCGCTCTTCTGCATAGCGAGCAGAGATGTTCTTTTCTTCTGCTAACAGCTACACGGGAATGGCAATGGGAAAGATTACAAACGATTTTAGAAGCAACACGAACTCTTCTCATTCATCACGTGTGTGACTCAGTGCTAAGCGCTACCCCAGGAGTATGGGTGTTGTTTCCTTCCTTTTGCTTTTCTGCTTTCCCGTTTTGTTACAAATGTGTATTGCTTTGAAATATGACAACATTATTTTAAACTACAATAAAAGCGAGAGCTTAGCCTGAGGAAACAATGTGTGGCACTGGTCCTGGAGTCTGGGAGGCAACCCACCTGATCAAACTTTTTCTGCTTCTTCTCCAAGTTGGAGACAATCTGGCGCTGATGGTCCAGGTCCACCATCAGGTCGTCGAGCTCCTGCTGAAGGCGGTTCTTGGTCTTCTCCAGCTTGTCATAAGCCAGAGCCTTTTCCTCTAGGCGCTGGCTCAACGCCTCCACGTCTTTAAGGAGCTTCTTTTTGGCTTCTTCCAAACTTTCAATTGTTCCCAAGTCATCATCTACTTTCTTCTTGGTATCAGTCAACTAGGATTTATGTAAAGAGAAAAAAGACCAGTGTTAAAGAACTCAACTGGTTTTCGCATTTGAGGCAAAAAGAAAAACGTGTTTTCAATATTTTGTGAGAAGAAATAATGTAAATCAATACTATATGATTTTGAGCAAATTAATCTTAGAGACTGTAAATTTCTTAGCAAAAAACCTATAAAATGATTGGATTAAAATCTTACATAGTTGACACAGTCCTACGTCTTTATTTTAAATGCTTCCCACATTAAGACTAGCATAGGATCAGCATTAAGCAGGTCAAAGAAAAAAAAAAACACTTAAAAAATAAAATTACCAAGTAACCAAATAAATTATGGGTTTTATTTAGTACAACCTAATTAACTGTCCCAAATGGAACTGAAGCAGTCCAGCAGAGCAGGGACATTCACTGCTGAATACACACATCTAGGCCAGCACAGCTCAGAGGACACACGCACCTGTGACTGCAGGGCCAGCACTTGTTTCTCCAGGTTCTTCCGGGCCTCCTCCTCCTCCTCCTGCTGCTCCTGGAGGCTGTTCTTCTCCTCTTCTAGTTGTCGAATCCGGCTGCTCAGGTTAAGCTTTTGGCGTGTCTCCTCCTGAAGAAGCTCCTGTTGATTTTTATAAAAGGTCAATACTTGAGTTACATTCATCACCAAAACAAAACACATCAAAAAAAAAGTCATAAACAACAGAGTGCTTCAGTGTATGAGAAATGCCCAGTGATATTAATAAACAGACATGATTTTAAAACACACGTGATAATGTTATAAAAGTTCTTAACACGATATCACTTTAAACTCATTCAGGAGGACTGCAGCACCGTCCACTCAGGGTCCAGCCTAGGGACTTGTGAGTGGTCCCAGCCACCTTCCTCATCTCCTCTCTTCTAGAATCCCTTCCACTCATGCCCCTGCCCCTCCCTGCCTTAGTCCGGGCATTTGCATTTCTCAGGATTAGCTCCAGTACTGGGCAACCCCTCAAATGTTTGTCCTTCATACTTTCTGCCAGAGTAATTTTTCTAAAATGTAAATGCAAACCTATCTTACCCATTATGTTTAGACTTAAAATTTTCAAAGGCACATACAGAGCTTTCTGCGATCTGGCCCTTGTCTCCTTTAAGCTCACTAACCAGGATATGCCTTGTCACTGCATAAGCCCTAGTTACAATGAACTTGTCCCCAACTGCCTACCTGTTCCACTTTCTGTTTGTCTGAAATTTTTTGCCCTGTATCCTTAGCACCTAGCCCAGGACCTAGCAAACATGCATCCATATAGTTTGCAAGTTTAATAAAAATAAGATGTAGAACTCCAAGACAATTGCTACATTATTATCATGTTATCAGAGTCATTAACCTGACTTCCATTTGACTTAAAAACATCCCTAACAAGTGACACAAGTCTTAAAAAGGTAGGATAAGCAAGCTTCAACCCACCTTTTTACAAAATGGACTGTTTCTCCTAGGTCAGCGTCATGAAATTTCAACCACAACAAAACAATCTTATTTAAAATGACCAGCAATACACATGTGTGTGACAGGCTCGCCACGTGGTGAACCACACCCCAGGGAGCACCCATGGTGCCAGCAGGAGCCGCCTCCCAGGCCTCCAGTGCCTGCGAGACTCAGGGACCAAGGGCCACTGAGCCTCAGAGATTTCCTGAGTATCAAGGCCAGTTCTAATGCAAGATGGCTCCAAATACACGTACAGCATAAAATCCGAAAGAGGAGATAATAAGGCAATTCTTGGGAGAGTATGTTTCACCAACTTATCAAGTACAGAAACAGTAGTTCTTATTAAAGGCACTCCCCCTAGAATACCTGTGTATCCTGTAGTTGAGACTCAAGACTAGATGCGTCCTTAGCAAATTTAATACCCTTCTTTTCTGCTTCTTCCAGAAGAGTTGAGACATTATCCAGTTCGTTCTGCAAGGAGGAGTAAAAGATTAAATGCACTTAAACAGTAAGCAGATGAACAGGGTCCAGAATCACCATTCTTAACAAAAAACAGCAGTACTTGGGGGGGAGGGGTGAATGTAAAATTGCCAAATTCGATTAAGGAAGACTTTCACCACCAAGAGTTTGTCACCTCCAAACAATGCCCAAGGAAGCAGGCCCTGTACCAGTCACCATAGATGACATAATAGTCTCTACCCACTGAAAAGACAGGTTGTTCAAAATGGTAGAGCCTACGCATGAAGGGGGGTTCTCCTGACTGGTTTACTACCTTGTTTTTTAATCATGAAGAGATAAAAATTATACCAAATCCTCTGAAACAGTGGCTGCTAGCCCATGTGAAGAGGATCTGAGAATAGCAGGTGTGCGATTTTGATCCTTTTTCATACTAAGATGCAGTAACAATATGCTTTGGGGGAGGGGGGGAAGGCAAGTGTAATTCATATTCTTATAGAATGTGAAAACTTTATTATAGAGATTCAAAGTTTAAGTTCTACTATTCACAGTCCAAATTTTTTCTAAGCTTTAAAAAAATTTGATATCAGCTCAAGGGCTATAGTAAGATTGTGATAACTTTGCAGTGACAGATGGTTAGACCTTGTGGTGATGATGACATAAGGTATATAAATGTAGACTCACTTTGCTGTACACCTTAAACTAATATATTGTATGCCAACTATACTTTAATAAAAAATTAAAACAAAAAATCTGGTATATATTTATCATGAATATTTAGCTATTTCTTATGGTCAGATTTTATGGATAATGAGGTAAAAATATATATATTTTTTCCCTCCTCAGTTAATGATAGCTCTAATATATTCCCCCTCCCCCCCAAAGTATAATATAAGATGTTTTACAGTTTTTTTGTGAGGACAGTGGGTATAAGAAGTAGAGGGACTCAGAAGGGACCACAGGGCCCCTTTGTTCAGGTTTGTCCTCTGGTCAGATTAATAAAGGGAAGGCATATAGAGTACAAATCTAAACATGTTACTCCAGCTAATGGCATTTCTAATTTTACTCATTTTAGCAACATCCTTCAGTGATCTTACCCTTGATCAGTCCTGGCAACAGTGTGGTGGAGGGCTCTGGGACCTCCTGCCTTCAACTCTAGCTCTGCAGACTGCCAGAGAAGTCACCAAGGGATACAAGCTACTTAGCTTCTTTGAGTTTCACATTCCTCATCTGCCAGAGGCACCCAGAGGGTTAATTGGAAAGCATACCCAAGGAGCCTAATGTATGCTGGAGCAGGCAGCATAGGGCCCGTGAATGTTACCTGCCTCGCCTCCCGACAGTACATAGTTAATAACACTGATAGGAAAATCTTTCTGGATTTGTGAGCACCATTTCAGTCCATATATATGCAGAAAACAGTTAACAGAGGAGGCCTGAGAACGCTCTCCTTAGAAAGCCTTGCTTGTAATGTTGGCCCTTGGCTGGCATCTGGGAACTGAGATTTCGGGAGGGCGCCTACCATTCCCTAAATGGCAAGATGGCTCATTGTGCCTGAATTATGCATAGGATTCGTGCTGAGCCCTGAGAATTCTAGTGAATGACTGAACCATGAGGGGTCCTGGGTTTCTGACAACACAGTTCTGTAATATTTTTCAGTGCAGCAATGTACATCCTCTCTCACTAACAAATACTCATTTACTATATTGTTTTTAAGTCCATTCTTAGACATACAATTTTTTCCAATTATGTTCTTTTTTATACACTTCTGCAATGAACAGTCTTAAAGTTGAATCGGTGTTCATATCCTTAATTATTTCCCTAGGATAAATTACTAGACATGAATTTATTGGGTCCAAGGCTATTCATATTTTTAAGGTTTGTGACACTAACTAAAACTGCCAAACCATCCTTTAGAAAAGGTTGAATGAATTTATACTTCAACTATAGTGTATAAAAAAAATCAGTTTTTGCAAATCTTCACCAAAACTAGATACAATTCTTTTCACCCACTGTTCCTATTCTCTTAACTGACTAGACTAATGGGAGAAGTTGAAGTTGTGCTTAAAATCATTCAAAGAACTAGACCCACAAGTCAATGTGCAATTTATTAGGTTTAACCCTCCGTCAGGCGCAACTGATCTCACAGATTCATTGCACACAAATTTTCAAATATCTAACATTTAAGTATCGTGACTCTACGCTTCTGTATCTTCCCCCTCTACCGTAACCTATTGCCAGTCGTGTTTGTGATTTAGTACAGGAAAGATGTATTTCATAGCGGCATCTTTGTGTGCAATGCATCTGTGAGATCAGTTGCGCCCAACAGAGGATTAAGGCCAATTCATGCTGCCTTGTTCCTAAAATATTATTTAACACCCATAGTAATATATACACCAGGGAACTATGATTGATGGCAATCGTCAGGTATTAAATAGCATATTAGCTGCGTGTCTTTTATGGTCACAGAGGGATAAAATGCGTAAACGACGGATACGTTACTGCAGGATACGTCCAGAGCAAAGGTTTTCTGGGCTCACCTGTAATTTATTTGCTTTCTCGGCCAGTTCCACCCTGAGTCTGTCTCCTTCTGAGACCTTGGCGTGGAGCTCCTGGACCTGGGCATCAAGTTTCTTCCTCTTGTGCTCAGACTCGGCCTTGACCTGCTGCAGCACCTTCACCTCACACGCCAGCTCCTTGTTGTCTGTCTCTAGGCCCTGCTTGTTCTTCTCCAGGTTTGCTTTGAACTAGGAAAGAGAAAAATAATTCACTCGTATTTTTATAGCACTCTATAAGAAGCATGCTTTTTGTTTCTGTAGGATTGTGCCTGACACAGTGAGTCTGCAACCAACATTTGTTGAATGAATGAATGAATAAAAACATCTGTTGTGCTGAGTGTGAAGATTTCTATAGAAGGGGGCACAACTGTATACACTGCTTAGGGTGCTAGATTCAGATATTTAGGGGCTCACTGCACTCAGTGTAGGCTGGGGGTAAAAAGCTGAACACATCTGTCCTAAGAGTAATCATTCATTCATGTCATCCTTTGTATGAAACAAGTTTTGTTAATTTTTTTTTTTTAAGTAAGAAGCTGAAAATCTTGTTGCTGGGATAACACAGGGACCACATTTGAGTAACAATAAGGTAGTTAGTACGTAACATGAGTAAGCACTGCACGTTGGTGCAAGGTGGTGACAGTCGGCTGGGTCTCTGCGGGGACCACCTTAGGGCTGACCCGGGACTTGCGATGGGCTTTCAAAGCAGTGTCGCTGGGGGTTACATGGGCCTCTGGGGCCACACTACCTGGCTTCGATCTGCCTTCCCACTTACTAGCTATGTGACACTGGCTTAGTTTCTCAATGCTGTTCATCCTCATCCTTTGAGTGAAAATGATAGAGACTAACCCATAGGACTGTAACAGGCTAATGAGGGCGATGCCCGCAGAGTGCTTAGTACAGTGACTGACACATACCAGTGCGAATGTTCAGCAAATGTTAATATGGCTGTATAAACGAAAAGGTGACACGTGGACAGGCAGAGAAGAGAAAGATGGGGAAGTCAGAGAAAGAACAAAGAGCCTGAAGGAAAGGATAACTGGGAAATACTGACAAAGACGAGTCTGCCTAGGAGGATAGTTTGCGTTAGAGGGTAAATGAAATTACGTTTTATCAGAATGGAAAGCCTATATAGGAGATACAAAAGAAGGCACAATGAAATGAGTGGCAACCATGTGTATGGTGGCGTGAAATCAGAGGCAGGGACTGAAAGAAGGGAGAAAGGAGTATAAAGAATGCTTGAAATCCTGGCAGGACTTGGGGACTTGCTGGCAGCAGATGAGTGAGAGAATGACTTCAAACTATTCAAGGTTTTTGAGCTAAGTCCTCAGGAGAAAAACGACACTAGTGAAAGAAGACATTGGGAGGAATATGTGATTTGAGCTGGTAGCTGGATCTGTCCAGTTCTTTACAACGACCAAGGGCAAATGGCTCTTCCAGCTAAGCAGTGTGTTTTCAGACAGCAGCCACCTGTGGTCTACTGGTCCTCCATCAGTCCACCAGTGTGGTACAAAGGTTGGGAATTAATCTGTACTGACTGGATGGAAGTATCATGGTTGACTTTCTCCAAGACGTGGCAGGGTCACGCTTACCCTTTTAGCCTGTTCCAGCTGCTCTGAGAGCTCTTCCAGAGCTGTTGCGTGTCTCTGTCTCATGTCCTGGATTTGAGCTTCATGGTTCTTAGTTTCTTCCTCAAGAGCCTTCTTCAGCTCTGCCACTTCTTGTTCACGTTTTGTACTAGAGAAACATATTTTTAAAGAAAGCTCAGAATTAGTTGACTGATTAAATTAAAAAAATATATGTATTTTAAGTGCTGCTTTAAAAAAACATTACATTAATTCCTCTGACAATTATTTGACGTGCTATTTTCCAATAGGCTGGTGCCTCCATTACTGTGGTATCGGGAATCCTTCCAGAACCAGCATAACTCTCATTCCACATCTGACTTACAATCAAGACAATGTAACATCCCTAAGTGTCTTCAAACTGTTCTGGGCAGTCTTGTTGCATTGTAGGTCAGAAATTGGTTAACAGATGCCAAACTGCCTGTTACAACACCAGCAGACATTTCAATAAAGCTGGAAAAGGATAAACCCCAGAGGCTTTCAAAAGCTAAGGAGGTTAAAGGCTGAGTCAGTCAGAAGGCTGCACCCTGACAAAAGCAGGAGCCTGTCTTATAAATCACTCAAGGGGAATAGGAACAGTAAATTAACATCCTCCCAAAACTCAATCCGGAAACGGCTTAAAGTTGTGAGGAGGGATAGGAAAATTAGAAGGCAGGCTACAGGGTCGCATGCCAGGTTCAGAAAGGGTCTCTAGAGTTTGATATGAGAACACAGCAGGTACAAGACCACAGAGTTTAAGTGTCTGGAGATAAACTGAGGTTTTATCTAACTTGCATTTATCTAACTTGTATATGGAGGTCACATTAGTATCAAATGTCTTTACATGGCTTTCTAATATTTTTATAATTTGCTATAACATATTTAGGATAACTTGAGAAGCCAGTTCTTTCACTAACTACAAGAGACTTCACACCCCATGACAAGTCACTCTTTAAATCTGTCGATTAAGCACCATCTTTAAGCATATAGCTTGACAAAGACTCAAACCAGTAAGGTAAATATCACTCCTGCTAAGAGCTGTCTGAACATCAACAGCTTAAATAGCTGTAACTTTACAACGATCCTGAAGCATAACTCTGGCAAACTTGCTCTATACTTTAAAGCCATTTAACTCGATACTTTAAACCAGTGACCAGTTGAACAGTGACTTATATGCTGACTCCTGTGTGGACACATTTACCTATCTTTACTGGTAGAGTGATGAGATCTAGAGGGCTGAGATCAGCTGCGCCAGGAGAAAAGGGGCCCTGGCGGCTGCTGGCGGTGCAGTGCATGTAGCCAGGCAGAAGCAATCACTAGAGATTCTTTGTGGTCCAGTCTAGCTCAGCAACAAGCTCACCAGAGGTGAAAGACATGCATTGGTTTGGCCCAGCCCTCTGCAGCCTTCATCAGCAGTCCTAAAGACAGCTAAGATGCCAGCTGAAGACTGAGTCCACTGGAGGACTGTTACTTTTATACGAATCACATTATACATACCTTGGGGAAGAACTAGTGGAGAGGTGGGGGAATGGCCTAAATCCCTAGAAGACTGTGGTACACATTGCATACTAACAATTAGGGCTGCAAACAGCCACAATTCTTCACACAACAGAATCAATGCGAGCTGTATTTGAGCATATTCATGGTTTTAATAAACATGTACAGATGAATTGTACTGTCTTAAAAAAATTTTTTTTTTCAAGAGTTGAATGGAAGAAATGATCAGAACTTTTTTTTCCTACTGTGGACAAAAGACCAGCTGAGAATAAATATTTCAACAAAATCTAGTTTAGTGGTTTCTGGGTTTTAAAAAAGCAGGTATTTTAAAGAGAAGGCCAGGACTTCAAATTGCTAAAAGCAGAGCCACTCTGCTCAAGTCGGGTAGGAAGCCTCTAACGCTGCCTGGCTCAGATGGGCTCCAACTGAGACGGCGGCCCTCTTTGGGGCACAACCTCTGAGTTGCTGTTGTTCTCACACATCCATAGGTAAGTCCTTGACTTACGCTCGCCAGCTCCATTTCTTTACCACTGCACACTCCTGGCACCTACAATCTGACCTCAGTCTTACCGCTCAGGGCAGCGTCTCTGCAGACTTGGTGACCTCATTCTCTCCAGGTCCAGGCACCTGGGTGAGCACACCCTTGTCCTCCAGGGAAGAGCACCTCTGGCTTTCACCACAACGCGTTTCCCTCCTAGTTGCTCCAGGTCACTTCCTGCCTCTCACCACACCTGACTTCATAAATCATCCCGTCCGGCCTTCTTGTTTTAACCTTAGCCACCTTCTTAGAGTGACAGGCTACTATTCCCATCACTCACACGCTGGAACAGCTGGCAGGTGTGTGTGTGCGCACACTCACGGGTGTGCACACATGCACAGCCAGCCAAATCTACTAGCCAAGGCAACCTGGGGTGGGCCGCACGCACCTGGCAGCTTGAGTCTTGAGGAGGGAGCAGATTGTCAGGAAGAGGGCACGCTGGGAGACTAATGAGGATTCTATCTGTGTGCCGGCAGGAGCCACAAGTTGGCCCCCACTGCCTGCTCTGCTCTGCTCACCTGTTCATTGCTGTAGCGCTCCTGAGACTTCCCGCAGGCTGACATGGTAAGGTCATATGAAACTACTCCGACTGAGTTTGCCTGTGCTTGTCGCCTTCTTCTTGCCTACACTTGGCTGTTGGCTCATCTGTTACAGCATATGCTTCTGCCTAGTGCACACCTTCATCTACGTACCTGTACTCGCCTTGCTTTTCATCGCTGTGAATGTGCACCTCTCTTCTCATGTTTGCCTACCATTGTTCATACCAACTGGTGCTGCCGGCAGATGCCTGCCCACCATGTATCTCTTCCTCTTCTGTGTCTGTCCCATCGATTCCCCCTGGTCCTCTCTGTCTCTTATTTGGTCTATGATTAAATCTCCTTCCAGCCCTTTGTGTGTGTGTGTGTCTGTCCCCTTAGATATCCATCACTGACTGGCTTTTCCGATCATGTCTCACTCTGTGCACCTCAGTCGATTGGTCCATCTACCTACCTGTGTAGGCTGGTTTGTTTGTAACCACTGCTATTTTGTTCCTGTTCCTCTGCCATTATTTCCAGGAGGGAGAGAGGAAACTCCAAACAACAGCGTGAAGAGGGCAAGCACACCCCAAGCATTTTGGCCAGACCTTGCGGGAGAGCTCAGCAGACACGCTACGCCACGCTGCCTTCCCCACTCACCGCAGTTCTTGCTGTGCCGCAGTGGTGTCCAGAGTATCCTCCAGCTCTGTCTTCAGAGCTTCCAGTTCCTCACTCAAGTCCCGTTTCTGCTTTTCTGCCTTGTTCCGTGAAGCCTTCTCAGATTCAAAGTCTTCTTGAAGTTCAGCAATTTGGGCTTGCAGCTCTCGCACAACTTTAAGAGCGTTGTTTTTATGCAGCGTTTCGTCGTCGCCCCTGTTAAAACACCCAGGCACGAGAAGCACTCAGAGCTGATGCAGAATGGACTGCTTCCCAGGTGAGCCAACCCCAAGCACCTCTCCACAAGGGCGCCGATTACACTGTCCCGTGCCTGTGTCTGTGGCATGAGGCTGCAGCAGCTGCACAGGGCCTGCCGGGGAGGCATGGAGGTTTGCAGGCAATGAACTGAAGGCCCGAAAGCTGGCATGGCAGAGCTAGAATCAGAATTGAGCCCAGCCCCCTTTCCCATGGGCTAAATATCTCCATTAAAAGGTAGGGCCCCCTCACTTTAATGATTAGAATATAAAAAAATTCCCTCAAGTAAAATGTTGTTATAATTAGAATACTGCTCAAGGTGGCAGGCTGGGGTGTCAAACTGGTACCAGCCTACAGCAATCAGCAAATTCAAAGAAGTTCTTAGAACACATTGTGGAAGAAAGAGACACACCACCTGTACACCTTCTACCCTACACTTTATCTTTCCCATAGTGCATCTTTTTGCTAACGTGTGTGATTTAATGTTGGTAGATTTTCTGACTGGGAATAGTTGGGATGTTTGTGGTGAGGGAGGGGAAAGCTGACGGACATGAGAGCGAGTGGTGGAGAACTTTAATTCTAGATTCTAGTTTTCACCTCTGTAAGTGAAAAGCAGAAAATCTGGCCAAAGTAAAACTAACAGTGACAGATGACAGAGAAAAATTTGTTATAAGATTTTGATTGCAATAAATTATAAATTAAACTGTAAGTTTTATGACCATGTAGTCAAATAGTTATTCTTTATAAAGAGATAAAAATATTAGATATAAATATATTTACTATATATGATTTCCCTTCTAAAACTGAATGGGTTAGAGCTGAATAGCAAATCATTCTATAAGTGTGTGTGTGGGATAGATTTTCTGAAAAGTGATTTCCTCTAAACTTCTAAAACATACTGAAATTAATCTGTAATGTGCAGAAACCAAAACACTGGATATGGTAAAATCACTTGTTCTGGTGTGAATTTCCAAGGATTTCATATGATTAATGATTTTTTAAGTGTAACTCCTGGGAACAGTTTATGAGATTTTCTTGCTACCCTGACACAAATGATGTACTCCTGGGCTTTTTGGGTTCTGATGTCATACCCAACAACCAGGACGTGTCACTGTCCCAGGGGTTTTGTCTGATCCTACATGAGACATTCTGTTGAAAACAGCCCCCACAGTGACATGTCCAATGCAAAGGCCTTGGCGGAGGCGCGGACCTGGCCAGTGCGCCCTGCAGCTCCTCCTCCTTCTTGGCGAGCTGGATTTTGAGCTCGTCGATCTGTGCTTGGAGCTCAGCGATCTGATCCTGCAGGTCAGTTGTTTCACCGTCCAGTTTTCTTTTGGCCTTTTCCAGTTCCTGACGTGTTTTCTCTTCCTTTTTCAAGCGTTCTTTAAGGCAAGACACAAGCTCTTTAACTCACTGAATGACACACCACATGAACAAATTCCAAATATCAACTGATTAAAGTTGAAAATAAGCCATTTTGTTCAAAAGCATGTCACTGCCTTGATACCACTGTACCACTAGCTCAGTCATTTGAAACCCATTATGATCAAACTGAAGGCGAAGATAAATTAGTGGGAGAAGGAAATTTTAAGGAAGAAACTGGGTGGATTCTAAGGATGTCCTTTCATGGGAAGTAAGCCCACACGGTTGGAGCCAATGTGATCTGGAATCTTCTCATGTCACGACCATCACTGTGGCCCAGGTTTGGAGAGGAGTTCAGCAGAGGCCAGGGCAGGTGTGTAACTGCCTGTAACCCCACCCTCTTTTCACTGGGAAACCCTGGTTTGAACCTAGACTGCAGTTCCCAAGCACTGGGGGAGAGAGGACAGAGAGGGTTATGCATCTTTCCTGCCCTCCCGTCTAAAATTCTGCAGTGATTCCTTCATTAACTCCAGTGATGTGTTCCATTCAAATGCTTTCCTCACTACAATGTAACCTATATGCCTTTGTGTTCTCCAGCAGGAACCAATATGCTGAGAAGATGAGACAGTATCACAGGCTGATTAAACAGGTGAGAAAAGAACAAGCACATCTGCTTTATGTGTACTTCCTTAGCAGAAGAATCCCATATACTGGTAAAAATGGTTTAGGAACATAATTTCATACTGGCATCCCTTCTTTTGTCTATATACTAAAAACAATACGAAGGACAACAAAACCCTAAGTATTTTTTAAAAATGTTATAAAAGCAATGCATTAAGAAAGAGTGGTCATGCCCCTGCAGATACTTGTACAGACCTTTATGACCCTAGGGTGTTAAAAACCATGTTCTTCCCTTGTGTCACATCTCTATTGTCATACCAGCCTCTAGCTGCTAGTCAAAGGGGAGGTTTTCTATTCTCTTTTCAATGTCTACCCTGTTTTTCTCTTTCTTTTGAAGAAAGCAATGATTCATTTTGCACAAGTTCCTAGGATTTCCTAACATTACTTTTGCCATCAGAGTGAGTCACTATTATCCTCAGCAGTTTCTCCAGTCCCTGCCTGTTTTTTGGGTCAGGAAGCAGTCCCTTTGTGATGTAAAGCCTAGATGCACTTTTTAGATTAAACCCACACAAAATCCAATGGCCTGTTCGGCTCAAACTTAATTTAGATGCCAAATATGTGTACCAAAAGGCAATGTATTTTACCACAGGACCTAACTAAAAAAAGTAAAAGTTTAAAGGATCATAAATATGTGGTGACTAGACCTATTTTAATAACTGAACACAAGCTGAAGGCTCTTACTATTAGTAACGACCATGAAAATTTTCTATTATTGTGTGTTCCGATTAAAGTAAAATCTAAACACTCACATATCCTAGTCCTAATTTCTTCTAGTCCCCAACACTGACCTTCTAAATCTGTGATCATGACTTCTTGCTTATTCCTGATTTTGGCCAAGTTTTTTGCCTTTTCTTCCTCTTCAGCCAGCTGAGAGGAACACTCAGCAATGCGATCTTCCATGAGTTTCTTTTCCTGAATAGAAAAAAGTGCTTCAGAAAAGGCATTCAAAATAACAACTAAGGTTTGGTATAATTCAGAAAACAAGTAATATTGGCACTGCCTCC